TTTGTTAGTGTCTGTGAAGTCCAACTCTGTAACACGGCATACATTCTGACCCCAGTCTGGCTCCATCTCCTTGCCATCCTCACCCCCTCCTTTCCCTCCTCTGACCGCCTACCCCATCCTCCAACCACACTGAGCTTTAATCCTTCTCTAAACACTGCATGCCTCTTGATAAGCTGCTCTGATTTTTCTAGAAAGCCCATCGTTCTACCCCATTCTTATCCATTCTTCACGACTCAATTCAAGTATCAACAGCTCTGTGAAATCTTTCCTGTGTCCCTATCCCCAGCTAGAGCTTTTCTGAATTTCCTCCTCTATCCTCCCACAGCATTCCTCCCCTCCTTCCCTCTCTCTTTCTCTTCTTCCCTCCTTCCTACTTCCCTTCCCACTCAATCACAAAACACTTCTTAAAGCCTGTGGAAATGTGGCTTGTGAGATGGGGCGGGGGGGGAGGGGTGGTGGTGGTGGAGAGGAGAGTCAGGAAGAGTAGTTGCCCCTGGGCCCCATTATTACCTGAATACATTCTCCAGAATTGAGTCTTTTTAACAACTTTAGATAATGTTAAAATGATGTCAATGTAAGTGAAAAATGCAAGAGGAAGCACTGTAAAATATCTTTGGTCAGAATAGGAGATGATATAGGCAAAAAATAAAAAATGGTACTTTTTTGTGTGTGCAATCGTTCAGCAACCAGCATTCTTGCCGACTAACAATGCAGCCCTGCCCCAGGCTGGTTCCCAGATATTATATATATTAATAGGGCTACACCTCAGAGGGCCAAACCAATGTGAGATGATGAATGGAAAGCTCCTGGGTGTTGGCAGATGCTCAGGAAATACAAATTCCCCCACTTCACAAAGATTTAAGTGTGATGAAAGAGCACTGCTTTGGGAATATGCCTCTGGTGTGGGTATGTGTTCCCAGAGAACATTTTGAGGGAACTAGAAGAGTCTTAGTGGGGCAATAAAGCCTTGAACTGGGCTATTAAAAATGGAAATGGAAAGAAAGATATAGCTGAAAGATACTTGAAGAATCAGAGAACTAAAGACATTGGTAATTAAGAGAATATGGAAGATTTTTTTCTGCTCTGTGCCTCTCTATGTCATGAACTTGATTGGTAATCCTACTAGGGATCCAATCTCTCTCCATAGGCTCCATCTACTAATCTTAGAGCACAATGCTCTTTTGTTCTCTGAATTCCCATAAGCCAGCACTTGATGATGTGTCTTATTTTCTTTTTCACCAATCCTGTCCTAGACCTTCATATAGTCCATTCCATTTTCTATCTCTTGCAGTGCTGGGTACACTGGAGGAGCCTGACGTTCATTTGCTGAACCACCAGTCCCCGAAAGGTACAAAAATCATATTTTCAGAAAAACAGATCTGGAATGTTTCACTTGGTAATTTCTTAAACCTTTTTCATCAGTCTGATTTAGACCAGATATTGACTCTCTTTTCACTCCAATGTCTTGGTTTTCAGCTGCCTTAGTAACTGTCTGACCGGCCATTCTTCTTTTGGAAAGAAAGATCCATTGTTTAATACTTTATGTTATTATGTAGGTTTATAATTGTACCTACCTACTCTGTAGGAATGTTCCACATATAGGAAAGAACTCTTCTTTACATGTGGGACTTTCACTAGACATAAAAAAAAAAAAAGTAGATTCCAAAAACAGGGGCTGGATAGGTTTGAAATGGGAGAGAATGCAGGGCAAAGGAGAACACAGGGTCCTGGAGCCAGGACTCTCAGGAGGCGGCCCCGGGAGCTGAACCGCCATGGGGCACGCCTCAGAAGGAAGAGACGCGGACACCAGAAACATAGGCGTCAGGCGGAGAGTCCACCTTGAGGACTTACTTTCCTCATTATTGGAAATACCGCTGACCCCCTTCTCCTTTTACACAGAGAGCAAAAATTTCAAGAAGAGTTCATTTTTATGAATTCTGGTCTCTAGTATGGCAACTTTGGGAATTGTCAAGAATAGATTTCTTACTCTTTATTTTAAATTTCTTGACCCTCAAGTGTTCCTTCTATTCTTTGAAATGGGATAAATTATTCTAATAAAATCTGCCCTGTCCGTTAAAACGATAACCCAAAAAAGCACAGTTAATACTTCTTCTAGAATCCGAGCAACAAAAGAACTTAGATGACAAAAAGTATAGATTTTATATTTCATTTCTTCCATCCTTCTTTCATTCTCTCACCATGCATTTATTTAGTGCCTATAATGGGCCTGCCTCTGTTTTAGGGTACTGAGAATATAAAGATGGTAAGACATTCACAACAGGTTCAAAGTCTAGAGGGAAAGACGTAAGAAATGAATAACCACAATGCATTAGACTGGCAGAGACACCCACACAGTGCAGCTATCTGGGGCACCTAGATTGCGAGGGGAGTGATTAGGAAATAGGCAGGACCTGAGCTACACCCAGAATCATGAGCCAGGCAAAACCAGAGCTACTGGGGGGGAAGAGAGACAGACAGACAGAGACAGATGGATATAGATAGATGGAAAAAAGGAAGGGAGGAAGGAAGAAAGGAGAAAGGCAATACATGAATGAATATCTGTTAAGTGAAGAGGTTCCAAGTGGTTTGTTTGTATAGGGGGTGTGGGGGGGGATGTTGGTGAGAAAGCATGGAGGGGAGTAAGACTGGAGTGATAAGCAGAGGTGAAAACTCGGGCTGAGCCATGTGTGCCATGCTGGAAAGTATGAAAACTTGGTGGAATTACGGAAAGGTTACAAATGAGGCAGAGAAAGAATAAGATTTGGAAAGATCATTCTAAGGGTCAGAGAAGAGTTCTGAGGGAGCAAGACCAGAGACACAGAGATGTGTGCAATGGAGATGGACAGAAAAAAGTTTAAGGCCCATTAGGGAGGTTGAAATACAGTGATGGGGGATTGTGAGGGGTTGAACATAAGCATGACTTCCAGGTTTGTAAGGGACAGGACTTCAGTTTGAGGAGATGGTTAGGAGTAGAGGGCAGGGAGGAGCTAATACATTTATTTTTTGATATACTGAGTTTGGGATGCCTAGGAAGTTGCTAGAAATACATGCAGATCTCAGTAGAGCTCAGGATAGAGGACAGTTCTGAAAAAAAACTTGGGGAATCACAAGGATACGAGTGTAATAAATGGGCCTCTCTGGAAGAGAGCCTAGACTCGGCAAAGAAGGGTTACTGAAGATGACCTCTCTGGGCATGCAGAAAAGGACCACGCAGAGAAGACTGAGACACAGCTTGAGAGGCAAGTGGAAAACCGGAAGAGGCTAGTGCCCTGGAAACCAAGGGAAGAGAGAACTTCACAGACAGTGCTGTCAACTGCTGCCCAAAGGCTGAGGAACGTAAGGACAGAATATGTGTCTGCTTTGGATGTAGCAAAAAAGCAGTCATTGGTACATTTGTGAGGACGATGCTTCGGTTAAATGGTGGGGATGGAAGCCAAAGTGCGGCAGAGTGATGAGAGATTGGGAAGTGACAGGTGCCTCAAGAAGCATGGGGGCACAGAGATGGAGGAAGAGAAGAATGCCAATTGTCAGAGGATGTGGCATGAGAGTTGTTACTGCTAAAATCACTTTGTGAAAATTGTGCCAAGCACAAATCCTAGAATATGGCAGGTGTTTAATAAATTTTAAATTATCCACTTAAAGGCCTTGATTAGCTTTTTCCTCCACAAATAATGACCTCATGCATTTTCTTCTTTATAAGTACGTCCATAGTGACAAAGATCTACATTCTATAAAGGGCTTTAGGACTTAAAAAAAAAAAGATCTGCATTCTATAATAAATGTTAGAAGTCTCACACTCAGTTTTGTTTCATAAAAAACATTTCCTGGGGCGCCTGGGTGGCTCAGTCGGTTAAGCATCCGACTCAATTTCAGCTCAGGTCATGATCTCAGGGTCAGGAGGTCGAGCCCCATCCCCCCACCCCCAATCAGGCTTTGTGCTCACTGGGAAGTCTGCTTGAGATTCTCCCTCTCCCTCTGCCCCTACCCACTCCCCAACCCCCGCCGCATGCTCACTCTCTCTCAAATAAATAAAAAATCTTTAAAAATTTCCTGCTTCAAGATTAGATGAGTCCTAACATCTTTTATCACCAGTGCCTGCCCAGTCAATGAATATACTGCACAATTTCACTTAAAGGGATGATGAGAGGTGACAACATGCATCAAGCAACTTTAGAAATAAAACAAAAATCATGTATTTAATGTTTTACCATAATGATACTACATCATTATTTCAGGAGTTACTAATTTAATCACCAATTTCTCAACCTTTCTCTTAGTAACTTCCTCAGTTCAAGAAATTTGTACTCCAGCATTAAACCTGAGTAAGACTTAGGTTCCAAAGATCAGACTGGTCGTGCCAGAAAGTCAATATGAGAGGCAAAAGAATAACTTCAAAAATCTGGTTATTTTAAGTATTCAGTATTGCCAAAAAAAATACCCTCCAAATCACTGCTGCTAGAATCAAAAAGTAAAAGCATCAGGTATCAAAAGAAGGAAAGAGACACCTAGAGATTAAGCTGCCTTTGCTTACTTAGCTCTCCAGCTCTCTATCTTTTCACGACAGTAGTTATCAAAATAGCACGGGAAGTTCACTCTTAGCACCAGCAATTCGCACTTTTTCCTCTTTCCTCCCTTTATTTCGAAGACTGACTGAGACAATACATGCAATTACCCGTTTCTTGGCCTACTTTGGAGTTAGCTCTCATTCGGAGCCGATTTTTCACACAGCCAAGGGGTGGCCATCCACCATCTAATTTGGAACAGATGGCCTCCATGTCACATTTCTCCATAACCTGCCACAGGAGCAGATAACTTGGCCCCTGTCCCTGAGGTAAACAGGCTCATCTGTCAATCAGGCAGCCGCCTGAGAAGTCACTGTTGTAATCACTTATTTCTGGAAGCCTCTCTCGGGAGCCCCAGAAGCGCCAGCTCACCCTGAAGGGCTGTGGGAACAGAATGTGCCAGCACCGGCCATCCCGCCGACGAAGAGGGGAACTCACCCGAGCTGGGAGTCGGTGAAAGTGCTTCTCTCCAGGAGCAGGTTCCCACTTCCATAGGCGGCCACTTGGCCAGCGGTCATGTGCGTTCTCCTCCCGCCTGCACCCACGGCAACGCTGGGCCCCGCTTCCCGCCCCATGCGGGTGCTGTGGAAGGAGCTCTGGTGCCAGGACTGAGCAGCCCTGTTCTGACTGGCGGCCTGCAGGGGCACCAGTGGCCGGAGGTGCCCAGGGGCAGGCCCCGAAGTCAGACAGTTCTCTTTCTCCAAGAGGTTTCCCATGCTGTGACTGGTCCCAGGCCTGGGGTACGTGAGCACCACCGGGTTGACAGGGGCGTTGTCACACACGGTGTCGTTCACAGAGCCGTACTGGTACTGTCTGTGGTAAGTGTCATAGTGGCGATGTCTGCTCGTGGCCCCGGAGTGACTGAAACCAACGATTTCTGAGCGAGCATATCGAGGCGGCAGGAGGAGGGTGGATCTCCTGCTGTCTTGGTGCCGCAGAGCCTGCCCGGCCTGGCTTCTCTGGCCGTACTGGTAATCACTGTGCGAGTGATGAACCCTCTCTGGGCTGCTGTCTGGGGAAATCTCAAGTCTCCTCAGAGGCTGCCTCAAGGACCTTTCTTCCACTGACTTCTGCGAACTGTACTGTGCCGTTCCTCTCCCCCAGCGACTTTCGTAAGTGCCAGTGGTGCCTGTCTGCAGAGAAGCAAAGTTTAAATGAGGCCTAAGTCAGTTTTCATCTTTGTTAAAGACCAAGGACTCCAGGACTATTATATAAGGTGTCCATTTTCTGAACCGCATGAAGAAGTTGGCCCCTTTTCTTAAAAAAAAAAAAAAAAAAGAGTTGGTTGACTAGTTATTTGTACTAGGATTTATACCACCCAGGGCACCTGGGTGGCTCCGTCGTTAAGTGGCTGCCTTCGGCTCAGGTCATGATCCCAGGGTCCTGGGATCGAGTTCTGCATCAGACTCCTTGCTCAGTGGGGAGCCTGCTTCTCCCTCTCCCTTCCCTCCCCCTACTCGTGCTTGCTCGCTCTCTAATAAGTAAATAAAATCTTTCTAAAAAAATAAAGTCCACACAAAATCAATCCTCATATAATTCATTTAGGAAATGGCAATATTTGGGAAAGGTAAACATTAAAAATAATCTATAGAAGGGGCACCTGGCTGGCTCAGTCGGTGGAGCACGTGACTCTTGATCTCAGCTCAGGGTCATGAGTTCAAGCCCCATGTTAGACATAGAGCTTACTTAAAAAAAACAAAAATTAAAAAATTAAGATCTACAGAATTAAAAAAAAAACTATGGAAGTTTAAAAATGTTTTCATCGTAATCTGATAACTAGGGTTATTCTTTGGTATCCTACCTTTAGCATTTCATAGGTTTTAGTACCAGGTGAATGCCCGCCAGCAAAGTCATTTTCAACCAAGTGTAGGTTATAGACATACTCAGGAACACTGCTGGTTCGGTGAAGATTTCCTGCAATCAAGCATACAGTAAAACATTAAGTGGGCCAATCAGTAGTTAGAGATTATCTAACAATAGTGTATTTTAAATTTAAGTAATTAAGACCAATAAGAAGTATCAGGTTTATATCAGTATTTTTAAGTGCTTGTTTAACATCACCCTTGGATGTGGGAAATGACCAAATGTTATCACAACATTCTTTATGAGATTTCAAAATAAAAGCTGAATTAAGAATAAAAATGTATTAAAAAATTAGTTAAATTTTTTTTGTAAGAAAAAGGAAGAATGAGGAGAGACGATTTTCACAAAGATCCAAAAATGGGGGCACCTGGGTGGCTCAGTCGATTGAGCGTCCATCTTCAGCTCAGGTCATGATCCCGGGGTCCTGTGACTGAGTCCCACATCCAGCTTCCTGCTCAGCGGGGAGCCTGCTTTTCCCTTTCCTCCCTGCTCGTGTTCTCTCTTGCTATCTCTGTCTGTCTCTCTCAAATAAATAAAATCTTTAAACAACAACAACAACAGAAAAACCCCAAAGATCCAAAAATGTTTGTTATAACACTGAGAAATTTGGGAGTCACTTATTGGCTTAGGTGGTCCATACCATAAACGTTGTTACTTAAGTCGGAGGAAGAGAGAACTCTACACCCAGGGTGGGAATTCAGAAGCTTCCTGAGAAGGATGTAGGTGCTTAAATATAATGGTGACAAACAGAATAGTGACTCAATACTAGTAGATAAGACAGCTTGTAAAAAAAAGTAAGGTGGGTCAGTGCGGTCAAGAAAACACCCGCTTGAAAGGAGCCAAGCCTGGGGTTGAGGTATTTGGCACCCTGAGTTAGGCAGGAGAAGAAACCATTCTCTGCATTACAGGTGAGTGCTTTTGCGGAATTACCAGACTCACTCTTAGTCTGGTGGTCTAATCCAGCCCACTCCCTTTCCTGCTCAGCTCTGTGGGGTCTACAGGGACTCTCAATGGATGCATGTCTCTTAAAACACTCCTTTTTGGGGTGCCTGGGTGGCTCTGTCGTTAAGCGTCTGCCTTCGGCTCAGGTCATGATCCTGGGGTCCTGGGATCGAGCCCTGCGTCAGGCTCCCTGCTCAGCGGGAGGCCTGCTTCTCTCTCTCCTGCTCCCCCTGCTTGTGTTCCCTCTCTCGCTGTCTCTCTCTGTCAAATAAATAAAATCTTAAAAACAACAACAACAACACTCCTTTTTGAGGAAAGGGGTGGTAGAAGACAGTGTTGTGACCCTCTTCTACTTCCTTTATCCTTCTCTCAGCTTTCTATTTGCTCTTCTTTATATATAATCTCCCACTGCCTTACCAAAAACAAAAAACAAAAAATTAATCAAAATAATCACAGATCAAGGGGCACCTGGGTGGCTCAGTTGGTTAGGTGTCTGCCTTCGGCTCAGGTCATGATCCTGGAGTCCCGGGATTAGCACATGGGGCTCCCTGCTCAGTGCGGAGTCCGCTTCTCCCTCTGCCCCTCCCCACCGCTCATGCTCTTTCTCTCTCTCAGGTAGATAAATGTAATCTTTAAAAAAATAATAATAATCACAGATCTCTAAAACCTAGGTAATTTCTGGTTCCCGGATTTTAATAAAAATTTCTTTTTCCTTTAAAAATCAGAGGAAAAGGGGTGCCTGGGTGGCTCAGTCGGTTGAGCGTCTGCCTTTGGCTCAGGTCATGATCCCAGGGTCCTGGGATCGAGCCCCACGAGCCCCACGTGTGGGCTCCCTGCTCAGCGGGAAGCCTGCTTCTCCCTCTCCCACTCCCCCTGCTTGTGTTCCCTCTCTCGCTGTGTCTCTCTGTGTCAAATAAATAAATAAAATCTTAAAAAAAAAAAAAATCAGAGGAAAAAATACTCAATGAACTCTCCTAGGTTTCAGATTTGTGAAGGATGTGGAGAATAAAACAACACAGGCAGTCCCTTTCCAACATGATTGGAACATACCAACATACTCTCCCAGCAAGATTGTTATAAAGTCAAAATTTCAAAGGCTAACGACAGATTCACATTTTTTTTAATAGAATCACATATTTTGAGGGGGAGGGGAGATGGTTGCGGAGAGGACTAAAAAGTATGAATCCATCCCAAATTATGTTTGTACATGTGTCTTATTTCCTGGAGCCAAACAACCTGGCCGGTGAACAGTTTCAGGCCTCAAAGGGTCCTGGGGGGAGGCAGGCTTGTAACTGTCACCTTTCTATAGACCAGGGAAGTTGTTTCTAGAGGTCTGATTTCTCCATAAGGGTGGGCAAAAGGTCAGATGGCCCCTTAAGTTTTAACCTCAATGACAGAGAACCTACACACAGAATGAGGGAAAGGAATTCTTTACAACCCCAAAGCAAAGGCGGCAATGCCTTAAGGACTTAAATCTCCATGCCTGCCTGGGGCTCCTGCCCAATGTGCCGGCTAGCTGAGGCTGTCCTAGGCCCCAATTCTGCCCTCAGTGGTCCTTCTGTCACCCCGACTCCCCACCTCAGGCTGTCAGAAAAGCAGGGCAGCAGGCCACACTGGCTGGTGTGGAAAAGGTGGCTGGCTGAGCAGGTCCAGGGAACATCTTAGCTCTCATACTGAAGGGTCTGGGGACTAGGGTGCTCTCAGCACTGGAGATGTAGAAATCAAATTTTGGTCTCTCAAAAAAGTCATTTCAGAATTTTAGATTATATGAAAACTGAATATATGAGGCAGGGACAATCTAGAATGGGAAAATACTAATGACATTATGTGGATGGTAGCTAGAACTATTAATTCCAATTACATGGCAGATGATGTAAGGGTGCACTTTTAAAAACCCATGGAAGTTTTTTTCCTGGGCCCCTCTAGCCCATCATCGCCTGCAGTATTAAGGATTACCCCTGCCCTACTTCCAGACAGACATTCAGGAACAGTTAATACGGGACAACTTCCATTTTCAAGCTGAGATTCCTGCAAGGATTTTTTTAAAGGTGTAAGAATCTTTGGAAAAGATCCAGTGCAACAACGTATCCTATCAAAATAGCTAATCAGTGAGTTTTATAATCAGGCCTATTGAAGTAAAAGGTTTAACTCACATTGTTGCTGGGGGCTGTAAGGCTTTTTAAGGCAACTTATATGAATTCCTTGTATCTCAATATTACTTTTCTTTAAGGAGCTCAGATTATTTTATGTTTCTTTCCAATATTCTGTGGTGCAGAGCCAGCTCCTATCAACTCCTTTATAAACAGGGAAACCTAATTACTTGCTTTAGATTGCAAAGGAATTTTGTATCACGTTTGAACTCTGGGTTCCTCATTTCCACTGGTCTCTGCTGTTTGACTGCATTGTAGTTTTTCCGAAACTGCCATTTACCAAAGCCCTGGAGGGATCATTATCATAGGTTTTGATAGAAAAACCAAAGCAATCATTCTCTTTCCTCTAGAATCTTCACCTGGGCAACCCCAAATACTCTATTAATTCTTTATTTGCTGACATAGTCCTTCTAAGGAAGCTTCTCCCTCAGTTTTCAGATGAATGAACCAAGACCAGTTTACTGATTCCCAAAATAACTATAACACAGTTGGGAACAAGGAATAAAATAAGCTTGGATCTTTAAACCACAGACTCTCTTCCTGTGCTAGAAAGGCTATGACTCCTGATATTTAGCTTGCAGGTTTCTCTGGTTAAAAGGCCAATCTCAAACAACAAACAATGCACACTGATTTGCTTAGGCAAATGAATTAGCAAATGTATTCTAAGATTTTATTTTTCTTTTAAAGATTTTATCTATTTATTTGAGAGAGAGAGAGAGGGAGAGCACAGAGGGAGTGTGAAGGAGAAGCAGACTCTCCCCGCTGAGTAGAGAGCCTGACGTGGGGCTTGATCCCAGGACCCTGAGATCATGACCTGAGCCGAAGGTAGACACTTAAGCAACTGAGACACCCAGTCATCCCTCTATTCTAAGATTTTAAAGAAATTTTGAACTGGGTGGAATTTTTTACTATTTTTTACTATTTTTAGTATATATATATATATAAATCAGGATGGAAACTTAATCTCATCTAAGGCAAGTCATTTTCTCTTCAGAGGATAAAATATATAATAATAACTACTAAACATATGTAATAACTACTAAACATATGTAATAACTCAGCCATGCCCTTCTCCAAAAACAGAAAAAAAGAAAGCAAACAAAAACATAGCATAGTTACAGGCATATCCTGCTTTAAATAAACCAACATGAAAACTCAAGATTTTCTAACATGGAAAATTAGGGTATCATTATATCTCAAAGAATTTCTTTATATCACAAAATGAGGCAGGTATCTTCCCTAAACAGAAGAAATATGTGGACTTGGCCTGGAGCCTACACTCCCCTATTCTCTGTGTGCCTAGACAAATCACTTATATGCCTCAGTTTCCCATAATTCTCGTCACTAACAGAGTTGCTGAGAGAGAGGTTTACCTGAGAAGCATATATTCAAACGCTTTTAAAATTGTAAAACAATATGCAAAAATGAGACATTGTTTTTTAGAATTTGGGTTACGAAAATTTGTTTTTTACCCTTTCTCATGAAGTAATCTGTTCTAGAAAGAGGGATAAACTAGAGTGCATGCCTTAATTTACACTGTGTTATATCTCAGAATTTTTATTCTGGTAAATTTACCAGTGATCTGGAATTTAACTTTCTCTGGTTATTTGTGACTGACCCAGCCACTGAGGATCACAATGACTGTATTGTGGTTTTTGCAGTCATTCATATTTCATTTGCACAGTGTGCAAATGTGCTTCTGTTTCCTAAAGAAGGTGATGATTTATAGGAACTATTTCAAATTAATATAAATTGGGCAACATTATCCATACCTTTCCATCTAAGAATGCCAGAGACATTTTATGGAGCCCACTTTAAGGGAGATGAAGAAGATAATTACAGAACAACTTTAAACTCCACCTCCTCAAATAATAAGCAATACCGGTCAAAGCAATGATAGAGTAGGGGTGGGGTGATGGGAGTTGGTTTTGATGGTGGAAGGATTCCAAGCTGCTCAGA